CAATACCTTGCACCTAGTAGGACTTTACTATTTAATTACTACATATAAGGGACTATTCTTAGGTGTAGGAAGGCCCGCAGGAGGCTGCATAAAGTAACGTTCCTATCTTCAAGGTGCTTATACGCTACATGTCACTAAGAGCTACATAAAAGGAAAGACAGTAAAGCCCCAAATGAGTCACACAAATGCAAACTTGATCATTTTGACAGGATGACAAGAGGATCCACATCAGCCCCTTGTTTCTGTTATCATTTTATTACTTTTATACCTTAAAGACAAACAAAATGGAGCTTTAAAAGACTATCAATTGCACAGCATGCTAGAACATGCCTTCTTAGTGTCAACACGACCTCAGGGATTATTCTGTTAGGCTTTTTTTCCCCCTCATCATCTCATTTGTCTTCTGACTTAAATATCAGTATCTTCTTTTAAAATAAATGTTTATAGTGAAGTGAGCAGAATCAGGAGAACATTGTACATAGTAACAGCAATATCGTAGGATGATCAGTTTTAATAGACTTGGCTCTTCTCAGCAATATAATGATCTAAAACAATTCCAAAAGACTCATAATGGAAAATGCTATCCACATCCAGAGAAAGAACTATTAAGTCTGACGGCAGATCAAAGTATACTCTTTTCACTTTATTTGTTTTTTTCTCTCTCATGGTTTCTCCCTTTTATTCTGATTCTTCTTTCACAACATGATTAATGTGGAAATATGTTTAACATGATTGTACATGTATAGCCTACATCAGATTGCTTGCCATCTTGGGGGAAGGGAGTGAGGGACAAAAAAAATTGGAACTCAAAATCTTATAAAAATGAATTTTGAAAATTAAAAATTTAATTAATTTTTAAAATGCTTAAGACTAAGTATATGTGCAAATTTGTTTCCTTTTCATTAGCCTTCTGTAGTTAAAATTCTTCCAGAAACGAGCTATTCTTCTATCTACATCATCAGAAAGTGTTTTGACCTTAATAATGCTTTTCAACCACAGAATATTAATTTTTGATTAGATTCCAGTCCTTTATCAAGCAAGAGAACAATCAAACCACCAAAACAGCTGCTGTGCCTCTTTCATATCCATGATTTGACAGTGAATTTCTAAAAGTATTGTAATAAAGACATCGTGAGATGGTTTAACATACGAATGCATTCATTTTCATGAAATATTATTAATTCCATGGCATGAGTCTTTACACTACCTATTCATTTTTTTTCAGTTTGATTTAATTCAGAACAAAACAAAACCAAAAAAAGAGCAATGTACAGAAACTAATTCCAGGGTTGGAAGCATTTCTCCTGGTTCTAGGAACACTGCTGTTTTAGAAGAACAAAAAAGAATGATTCACTAAATTTTGCAGTGTCAGCAATCAAATAACTGTCATTTTTTTAAAAATAAGGCATTCTATCTGTCAAAAAGAGTGTGCAATCAATATTTTCAAATGCTATACTCAGCTGAAGAAGTATACATGGGAGCTCTTAATAAGGCACTAGAATAGCTTAGTAACAGATTTTGGGGTGGGGAGAATTTCATTTAGAAGTTATTAGCTTCAAGTGAATTCTATCAGAATAATAAAAGTAAAGGATTATTCTATACTCAATGAATAAATTATATTTCTGTATGCAGAAATGGGAAAGAAAAGACCTTTCCATTCTATTAAATGACTCATCAATAAGACTATGAAAGACATCATTTAAACAAAATGCTGGAAAGTGTCAAACATACTCAAGTGATAATGGTTAATGCCATTTGGATAAAGTACAGAGTACATAAAGGGGAATAGTATAAAGTAAGCTCAAAAGAACAGAGTTCAGCATAATCATATAATTTTTGGCTTTTTAAAGCAAGCATAACCTGTTAGTAAAATCTTAATCACTATTCTGGTATTTGGTTGGAAGGCAGTGATTTTCACTGGAATAATGTTTCTGACTTCAGTTTTCCATCTCTTCACTTTCACTGAAATAATATGGAATACTTAATAAGGATGCTTAAGAAATATGAATTGATTAATTTTGCTTATTATTAGGAGAGGCAGCATGATGTAGTATGCCAGCCTTAGAGTCAGTTAATATTTCAATGTATTCAGGCAAACTTCCAGGGCTTTAAACTGCAGAGAAGGTTCTAATTTGCACTATTAGAGGAAGTTTCCTCACGGAAAATTCCTTACAGGGATGAAATCATAGTTTTGGATTTATGGATAGAGGAAGGGTCTAAATCAGAAAAGACCTGATATCTACCTCTGATACATACTAACTGTGTGACCCTGGGCAAGTCACTTAATCTCTCAGTGTCCCAAGGGAACTCTCTAAGACAATGAATTGCAGAGAAGGTACCTCAACTATACTTTGATATATATTTACATACACATAATGCACACATATGTACATGCTTATGTGTATGTGTAAATATATAATACAGGTATATATAGGTATAAATATATGCATATAAAGAAGATATCAGTATATATTCATATATATGCATGTGTATCCATACATATAGAAGATATGGGTATATGTTAGTATAAATATATACACATATAGAAGAGATCGGTATATAGCCACACACATTAAAGATATCAATATATGAGTTTAATATGTATATGTATCTACATATGTGTATATATATATCCATATACATAGAATATATTGGTATATATGAGTATAAATACATACAAATATAGAAGATATTGGTATATATGTGTAGATATATACATGAATGTATATATCTACACATATTAAAGATAATAGATATATGAGTATATATATATATATACATACATAGAGAAAATAAGGCTATATATATATACACACACACACACATACATATATATACATATATATGCATAGTGGTTAAGTGGTCTAGCATTGATTAGCATTAAATCAAAGGCCTAATTTAAGGGGGGAAACGTTCTAATCTCGGGCAACTATGGTATCACCAAGAAAAATATCACAAATCTCTTATAAGTTGCAGGATATGTGAAAATTCCATTTTGAAAAGCAACAACACAATAAATTCAAAACACTCTTCGATGCTTCTCTATTTTATAGTTATATATGTAGGAAGGCATTCCTTATTAAAAAGGTAAATCTAAATTAGAACACACAGATTTTCTTGTGTTACAAAGGCCAATATACTTCTGTGTATCTTCGTGGTTGGATTCAGAATGGACAAATATTTGGAATCGCTTGGTTGAGCATTCAGTGGTGATGGGGCATTGCTATTCCTTTTCTACATTCCAGGAAAAAAAACCAAGTAACTTGCAAAATATGTTGCTTTCTGAAGGAGTCCTACAGTGGATTTAACAATATAGATGAGATAATTTGGCTTTATTGAATGAGAGGGAGAAATGGGAGGGAGGCAGAGAGACAGACACACAGAGATACAGAGAGAGACAAAGAGAGACAGAGAGAGGAAGAGAAAGAAGGTAGAGAGATAGAGAGGATTACTGATCAAGATGCAAAATTATTAATGAAAGTACTCTATAGCTTCAAGAAATATAAAGTCTCTGAATATTGTACACTGACTTTGAGTTATTTGCCATATGTACTCTCATTTGATTTGGAACTTGGCACAGATTTCTTGTATTAATGAGTGAGTTATGCTATCATAATCACTTTCTATGAAACAAAACTGAGTAAACACAGGCCAAGAAAGAATTTCTATATATTAGTAGCAATAGTAATCACAGAATCAACTTTGTATTCTAACCTAATCCCCTTCCTAGGAAATAAGGCAACTTCTTTTAATTAGAGGGAATCGGTAACTTCTTTAACAGGAAACCAGGTCAATCCATTACAAAAGGCATAGATGGTTAGTATAAAAACACTAAAACCGCCACTATTCCCTATCCCCCCCAAGCAGATTTATCCCCATTCTAGTCCTATTCTCACTGTATATAGCAAACACTTATATTGTATTTTATGTATATTATCTCACTCACAAAAACCTTTTGAGCTACTATTAATTTATTATCCCTACTTTACAAATAAGGAAACACAGGCACACAGAGGTTAGGTTAATTGTTCACACTCATACACCCAGCAAGCACCCAGGTATTCCTGACTACAGGTTTAGCATTGTTTCTATCTCACAATACTGCCCCTCGAGACAAAGACATGACTAGAGAAATGACTGATAGGGACATAAAATGGCAAAATCAGAAATCAAAATTACACCAAAACTATGACATAGAGATGCTGTACACTACACAGTCCCTGAAATAATTACAAACACACACATACACACACACACACACACACACACACACACGCGCGCGCGCGTGCATTCATATGTAAATTTGTGTATAATATATATGTTTCTATGTGTATATACATACATAACGTGTATATACCTTTGATTCAAACAATTTAATAAACATTTAAGTGGCTGTCATGTGCATGATTGAGATTGTGTGGTAGGCACTGGGCATTTGGCTAACCTTGCCAATCATTCAAATCATTTTTCCAGGATAATTAGGACTGCATTATACAATATTGCATTAATGTACTACAAGGAAAGTTGCTTAATTACATACATGCACTGCCATTAATGTGTAAATTTAACAGGATCACAGAATGTTAGATGTAAAAGAGATTTTAAAAACCATCTAATCTAGTCTTCTCCTTTTACCAATAAAACCATTGAAATTTTTGAACAACTTCACTTAACAAACAAACACTGTATTGGATATTCAATGAATAAATAAAATAGCAACACTACAATTTGTATATCTATTTCTTCACTTTGTGCACCAAGAATCACTGAACCAGTGGGGAGATGTTGGAAGAACTTCAAAAACCCTCAGGCTGACTCAGTCAACTTGGCAACTTTCTTTATCAGAGAAGAGATTTTAGAACCACATTATTCTTAGTCAGGGTCAATAAACATTTATTACAAGAGAAAAAATAAAAATAACAAATGCTTAAGGAGGCAGTAAGGCACAAAAGTATAACCAGTAGGAAACATGGGTTTCTAAAGGAGAATTTTATACTTACTGATGATGTCCGGTCGACTTCACATCGACTACTTAGGATGAAACAAGCCTCAGCATCATCCATCCTAAAAACATACAGGAAAAAACAGACCATGTATTGAAATCTATATTATACTTTTGGCTAAAATCCAGGATTATAAAGCATGCATATAGAATTTGTTAGTGTACACAAATAACAAATAGAAGCTGAATATAAAACAGATCATGCCAACATTTTTAGCATATAAGCTTCTTCTAAACACTGTTAGACACCATTGTATTTGCCAGAATTAACTCAACATTTCCTACAGTGTCAAAGTGAAAAGGATGCCAATTTTTTTTTCTCAATTCTAGAAATGGCATTTTCACATCAATGTTTTAGTTAAATCAGGAAGTGAACATTATTCTTTATGATAAGCTTTCACATTAATGCTTCAATAATAACTGCTTACATTGTATAGCAATTTTACCTACTAGATATACATAATAACCTTCCCCATTCTCCAGGTCAATCAAATTGATTGACAAGCATTTATTCAGCGACTACTACTATGTTCCAGGTACTTTCCTAAATTTCAGGAATATAAAGACAAAAGTGATACAGTCACTGCCCTAGAGGAGCTTCTATTCTAACAGGGAATATATGGACAAATGTAAGTAGTTAGAGAATATGTACAAACTGAATACAAGGCAGGTAATTCTAGAGGTAGGGCACTAGGACCTGGAGGAACTTATTACGATTTAATGTAGAAGATGGAACTTAAGCTATCTTAAAGAAAAACTGAGGTTCCAAGAAGTGAAAGTGATGAGAAATCTCATTCTAATCCAGGGGAACAGCCAAAACAAAGTAAAAGACTGATGAAGCATAGTGTGTGTGCGTAGTAAGCAGACTAGTATGGCTGGACCACAGACTGGAGTAATATATAAGAAGGGAAGATGAGAAGAAAGGGAGTAAACTTTTATATGGCACCTACTATGTGCTAGGCACTGTGCTAAGCACTTTTCACAAATACTATCACATTAGATCTTCAGAACAACCTGGGGAGGTAGGTGCTGTTAATAGTCCCATTTTATAGTTAATAAAACTGAAAAAGACAAAAGTTAAGTAACTCAAGTAACACGTTCACACAGCTAGTCAGTGTCTGAGGCCAAATTTGAACTCAAGTCTTCTTGATATATTCTATAAGTTGTACCACCAGCTATCTCCATAAGAAGACTGGAAAGATGGGAAGGGCAAATTTGTGAAGAGTTCTAAATGTCAGTTTTATTTCATCCTAGGATAATCAGGAGATACTGGCATTTATTGATTGGTGAGTTGGTTTCTGCTCCCCTCCTTTTTTTGATCCTGAAGTTAATAGGGAGCTACTAGAGTTTATTGAATAGGGGGCTGACATAGTCAGGATTAAACTTTAGGAAAAATAACTGGTATTTGTGTAGAGGATAGATTGGAATAGGTAAAGGTCTGAGGCCATGAGGCCAAATGGGAAACAAATTAATCTAGCAAGACTTGGATTTTCCTGTTCCAGAATTCATTTTTAAAGTTGTTTGGAAGGGAATTTGGGACAGCTTAAGCAAATCCTTGCCCTTTCTCCACTATCTTGGCTTTGCTCCCCCCAGACTCATATTTCAAATTGCTTATTGGGCTGCTCAAACTGGATACATCTTAATCCCAACAAGTCCAAAAGTAAACTCAAAACTTTCCTCCCTCCCCTCTTTCTAATTTCCCATTACTGTGGAGGGTACCACCACCCTCTCAGTTACCCAGGCTCAGAGCTTGGGTTGCCATCCTCAACTTCTTATTCTCTCGATTGAGCATAACTAATCTGTTTCTAAGTCTTGTCAATTCTACCTTCACAACAATTTTTGTATAATCATACTTCTCTCTTATAACACTGCCACCATCTTAGTACAGGCTTTTATCACATCACACCTGGGGTATTATAATAACCTGTTGCTTGGTCTGTGACTAAAGTCTCTCCCCACTTCAGTCTATCCTCCATTCAGCTGTTAAAGTGATCTTCCTAAAGCCCAGTTCTGACTATGTCACTCTCCTATTCAATAATTCCAGTGGCTGCCTATAGTATAAAATATAAAATCCTGTGATTGCCATTTGAAGGCCTTTATAAGTGTTTTCCCTTCTCAAGCTTTGTATTTTTCTTATACATTATTTTTCCCCACCCATGTACTCTCCCCAATACTTAGAATTCTCTCCCTCTTCATTTCTACCTTCTGGCTTTCCAGCTTCTTTTAAGACCTATCTAAAATACCCTCTTCAACAAGAAGCCTTTCCTTTATCTGTCTTACTACTAGTGTCTTCCATCTGTTGATTCTCTACAATTTATCCTGTACGTATCTTGTGTGTGCAGAACTGTTTACATATTGTTTTCCTCATTAGACTGTAAATTCCCTGAGGGCAGAAACTGTCTTTTACATTTTTTGTCACCCCAGCACTTAGCATAGTGCTTAGCAAAAAACAGGTTCATAATAAATGTTTTTGACTGACTAAACAGTACCTGAAATACAAAGATCCCTGTGAGTAGAGAGAGGGGAAAATTAACAAGAGACTACAGAGATAAAAACAAGATTTTGCAATTGATTGGATATATGTGGTGAGATTAAGGCCTAGAGGAAGACCCCCAGTTAATACAGTTTCCAAAAGGCATCAAAGTAATAACTAGAGTGGATGTTAGTGACTAGAACAGTTTCTCTCTTTACAATGTCATGGTATCATATTTAATATAATCAACCCACCTGATGCACTCACACACTGCTAAAGCAATTTAAATTTAGTGCACCATTAACCATATTCCATTAATTATGCTTAGAAAATGTCTGTCTTCACTTTCAAGAAACAGTTTAAGCATTAAGTTTAAGCATTCCAATTAAGATAAGCAAACCAAAACAGCCTCAGTGCCCCTGCCAGACTCAGAGAGTGCCAACACTAAGGAACAAGAGACAAAGGGTTTGTATTCTAAGCCATCCTAATAGTCAGAACTCCCTCTTGGGTTTTTTCATTGACCTCAAGAAAGTATGTCTCCCCGAAGATTCAGTGAAGAAGCATTTAATTCCAAAAGGACTTGCCCAAAAACAATTCTCTAGCACCTATGAGAACAACTACTGTTATGGACATTACTGGCTCTTGCTATAAAAGCCTCCTACACAGTGACTCCCAGCCACTGGTAATGTGTCATGGACTTAATGTTGTAGCATTTAGAACTAAAAGTTCTTAAATACAATCTAGTGTGATGCTCACATATAGATGAGGAAACTGAGGCTCAGAGGTATTAAATGAATTACCCAGAGAAATATAACTAAAAAAAACCCTATAGATAGCTATTTTGCAGGGGATTAACTGGGGCTTCTTTTTGCTGTTGGAAACATGAGCTTATTTCCACTTAATAAAAGTTATTTTTGCTAACATGTTGTGGTTCTAACTGCCCTGGGGCTCCCCTGATATGAATCCAAGCCCACCACTGGCTGCATACGGGCAAAAGTTATACAGTGTTAGTAGATTTGAATAATGTTCAATATTATTTTATTTTTTCAATTCCACAAAATGTTTACCATAGTGTCAAACACTTGGTGCTCAATAAAACCTTGTTGAACTAAAATATTTAGTAATTTGAAAGTATTTTAACAAAAAAAATCTGAAAAAAACTCATTATTTGTCTGATTATATAAGGTAATTATGCTCTGCCAGGGTTCTTCTTGTGTGGCATTGCCAGGGGCTGGAAAACAAAATCCTATCAATTTCAAAACTTTCACAATAATTACCAGTGTTAAAATAAATGTTTTAGCCTCTATAATACTTAACAAAATTTTCAACACTGAAATCTGTTAAATAGAAAAGCATAAGAAGAAGAAATGAAGCTTAAGGTGAATTTCAGAGTTTGTAGATGCTCATATTTTCAGATCATACCTATTTCTGTTTAGCAAATGTTTCATCGGGGGGAAAATGATGGAGGAGAAGGGAGGGGAGTTACTGAGAGTGAGCCAAAACATCTAGAATTGTAACCTAGAACTCTTGGACTGGAACATGTCTTTAGACTGGTTAAAGACTATTTCAGCAGATGGTACATTTTTTGTGCAGTAGTTGTTTAAAAGCATTTAAAATTTTATTATTCTTTATTGATATCATACCTTTGAGAGGCAATGTGGTATAGTTGGGTAGAAAGTCTCAAAATCAGGAAGACCTTGGTTCAGATCCTACCTCTAACATATACTGGTTGTGTGATTCTGGGCAATGGTCTCTCAGTGTTCAATGTATTTTTTTTTTTGGTTCTTTAAGACTCTAAGGTGCAAATCTTCAGTAATAGGACTTTCCTCCCTTTAGAATTCCCTGTATCAATGAAATCACAGCTTCTGTCCATTTCCCTTTCCTTTCACTATGCCTATGAGATTTTTTAAAAAATGGACAACTATGTATACAATTAAGCATGTCAGTCTGTTTCTGTGGTGGATATCATTTTATCATAGTCTTGTGCCTAGGGTTCAAGAAAACATAAAACATTCATAGTAGAAGTGGCATTTCCAGTGAGGTTTCAAGCTCAGAGATATTCTTTTTTTTTTTCAAAGGTATTCTAATGGGATAATCTCTCTATACCCCTTATACTAACAATATTGGCATTAAGACCTATAAAGAGGAGAAACTGGAACAAAGAATTTGCTAGGTTTCTGGGTTATATAAGAACTTGAGACATTCTGGTACTTCTTTCAGAATTTAATAGGACACACAATTCTTAAGGTACATGAGGGATTTTCCAAGGAATGGGATCAGGTTAATGTTTGCAGCACCACATAGTAGTGATTGAACTTAGATAGGATAAGAAAAATGTCAAAAATAAAAAAATACTTACTTTGCTCTCAATAGATCCTGATCTTTCAGGGCTGAACCTTGTAGGTAGATGACTCTTTGGGACCACATTGGAATCTGAAGGACTCTTCGAACCTGAATATCTATTTCAGTTGGACATAAAATTACCACATAATAATCCTGTAAAAAAAAAAAGAAGCAAGTCCATGAAGGAAAATTAAAAAAAAAAACATTTTGGTGTGTACTATCTAGGTGAATTAATTTTCTAAATAATGACAATCAGTTAAATTGAAAATCCTGATAAAAGGTATCTTCATAATGAAGCTGCTTTTATAATGCCATAAAATGCAAATGAAAGATGTATTCTATCCATGTAAGCATGATATATCTGACTTATCTCCATATTATTAGTGATTGAGAGACAGAATCAGGAAGAGACATAGAAACAGAGAAGTTATCTTTCCATCTATACATATGACAGAAAAATGTCTCTCACCACTTACCCAGAACAATACATTATGGTTAGCTTTCTCAATAGGTAATCCCATGTGAACCTCCTTGTTCAACATATACCTATTGCCAAAAGTAATAAACAACACAAGGCATACTTACATGTGTTTAGTATTCTTAACAAATGGAATATTAGCTTGTTTTAACATTATACACCATTAATAAAATTCATCTTTTGACCTTAACCCTACATAAGTACTGGGGTTTATTTTCTTATCATATCCTACACATAGGCAAAAGTTGTAATTCCAAAAATGTAAAATGGCAAAACAAACAAAAAACAGAAATAAGAGTTCTGAAACAAGAATGCCTTTAAAGTAAGGGTTCTTAACTTTTTGTGTAGACCCCTTTGGAAGTCATGAAGTCTATGAATCTCTTAGAATTTTTTTAATAATGGAAATAAATGTTTGATTTCAGCTAGATGTTAATAAAAATGGAGATATTTTTGGAACTCATTGAAGTTCATGGACCCCCTGAAATCTATCCGTATACCTAATAGGGGTCCATGAACCCTAGGTTAAGAAACCCTATTAAAAGAGTTGTGAATGAGGAAGAAAAAAGCTCCTGAAATGTGAATTTGTCGATAAGGGTTCAAATCCCTGCTCCATTACTGATGGAGCTAAACATGTGTTCATGGGCCAATCATTCAACCTCCCTTTAGTTTAGTTTCCTCTTATAAAATGGGTATAATTGCACTTACACAAACTTAATGGGGTGTTGTGAGGAAAGTAGTTTGCAAATCTTAAAGTCCTCTAAGAATGTGGGTTATTTTGTTGTCTCATGTGAAAGGATTAAAATGTAATTCCAGAAGACAATGTAATAATACTTTCATAGCTAAAGAGGAATGTCGCTTATGTTATAAATATTGCTACCTCCAGTGGTACTCTTGCTAAACAGAACATGTAGGGCATTAAGATTGCACAATATATGAGAAATTCCTGTTTATTGACTACTACTAAATGATTATAGAATATTATAAATAATATATTATGATATACTCTCATATCTTATAATGGCATAAATTCATCACTGTGGGATTAGTTTCATTCATTACATTCAAATGACCAGCAGGTCTGGCCACAGGAAAAGCAATCCCCTAGATAAATGGTCACCTACTTTTCCTAGGCTGCTTCTACCAAGGGCTTCTAAGAAAAGTTGCCTTTGTGGATACTGTCTAGATTTTAAACAGAAAAATTATCTGATTTTCTCTTATGGGTCAGGTTCTCTAAATATTAACTTCCAAATCTCTCTCTGTCTCTCTCTCTCTCTCTCTCTCTGTCTCTCTCTGTCTCTCTCTGTCTCTCTCTGTCTCTCTCTCTCTCTCTCTCTCTCTCTCTCTCTCTCTCTCTCTCTCTCTCTCTTTCTCTCTCTCTCATTTTATTTTGTTCCCCCCAGATTGATCTTCTTTACAGTACATCATAGGCATACTTGGCAAATTTCCCAGCATGAATGTGACAAGGGAAAAACACAGAAAATAAATGTGGATTTGTTCAAATAAATACATAATTATGTGAATAGTGTCCCAAATATTTACATCATTTTACTTAACACTTAAACAAGACTATTAAGAACAGGAAATGGTTCACAAAGCCTGAACTCATAGATCTTGTGCTATGAATTCTGTTCACTTTTTTAACAAAGGTGTCTTTATCTCTTGATATAAGCAAATTACACTATTCAAAGTCATCAATATTCAATGATGCTAAACCTCCACATTATATTTTTAATTTGAATTTTAAAGAGCCCTCAACAGAAATGGAAAGTTGTCATGTGACAGGAAGGGCTAAATTCTATCTGCATAGACAAAGGTATACAATCATGAAACTTTGTGGCTCTAAGACTAGCTTCGTACATATCCTAAACCCAAGTGGTTAGTGCGAACATTCTAGGTAACACTCTATCACAAAGATATGGCTTGCATTCTTCTATAACTAAATACAAATTGCCTGACATTTCTCTCTTAGCAACACCTGTTAAAATTTCATAGAATTCAAATAAGCAGATGATAGTAAAAAGGATCAAATTTCACTATTTATATCATTGTTTATTAAAACTCAATGTTTCATGAAAATATTACTTATGCCTGATCTAGGGAGAAAGAGACAACTTTTAATTCACAGAAAGCTATTTCTCTGTAGTGATAGCATAATTCCATCTGCCTTGTCTTTTTAGCTACAGAAGGCAGTATAAAGTACAATGAATGGATGCATTATTTTATGTGTGCCACTGATTATAACTGTAGTGTCTTTATTCACTCCTTCCTAAACTCAATCACATAAATGACAACTTTCTAGAAGGTATACTGCATCAATTTCTAATTTAACTTTTTTATTATTTTACTTTGTTTAATCCAGTAGAAAAAGTATTCTACATCAAAGGTACCTGTAGTCTTGGATGAGCATAAAACTCATTTAAAAAATCCATAAGTAAATCAATCTTCAGGGAGCTAACACACAGGACAACATGCTTCTCTGTCTGAGCTCTGTGACGACTGTAGTTTCCACCAGACTTCTGTCTCTCCATCCACAAAAAGGCCAGCTGTTCAAACTGTAATGAATTTTTATATATGAATAAAGAATGTCAGGCTTGAAATATAGATCGATGTGATACATTTAGTGTTTCATTATGTTTACTCTTTCTTAAATGGAAATACCTGAGATGTAAGTTATCTTTGCAGCCTTTTAACAATGCTGCTTTCACATGAGAAAGTGGTGAGTAAATCAAATCTTTGCTCAAATACTCTTCTAGAATATTTAGGTTCTAAAAAACCCTACATTATTGTTGTCGTAGTTTGTTGGTTGGTTGGATTTTTCTTTTCAGGAGAGCAGTTATTGTTTGGATTTTTTCTATCTGGACTTGTGAGTTCATCACTTTAGGATACTTCTTGTGTGAAAATGAACTCCATGTTTTAAATGGGCAACTAAAACTCATTCTCTTAGAGAGTTGTTCAGAGGCAGTTTATAGTTAAGGGGCTTGTTTTCGCTGATACAGTTAGTTGGCTGTCAGAGGCAGAAATTAAACTCTGGTCTTACTAATTCCAAGGGCATCACTCAATAGAGCTCAATAGAACTCACTATGCTAGACTGTATACTGGCATGATCTTTCCTACTGAATGTTATTGTTGTTGTTGAGTCACTTATCAGTCATGTCCAACTCTCTGTGACCCAATTTTGGGTTTCATTGGTGAAGATACTAGAATGGTTTGCCATTTCCTTTTAGAGATGAAGAAACTAAGGCAAATAAGGTTAAGTGATTTGCCCAGTAAATACCAATAAATGTTTGACACCACATTTGAACTCAAGAAGATGGGTCTTCCTGACTCCAGGCCTGGCACTCTATCCACTGTGCCACCTAGCTGCCCAGTGAATGATATTATATAATAGCAAAATACAATAGGAAAAATCATGTCACTATATAACCAGGCACAATGTATAGAGTGACAGCTAATATTTAAAGATTGAACTTGACTTTCCATATGATTATTTGCATTGAATCTAACATTTTGGGCACTGTAGAAAAGAAAATCTCTGAATCCTCCCATATTTTCCAGGTATTTGTTAGTCATATCTACCTACAAAAGATACTCAACATTATACACACTCCTACTCCAGCTACTCAATAGCTATAAGAACCCCTGCTTTCCTTACATTTCTACTTCTCAAAATATGAAGGGAGAAAAAGGGTTAGGAAGAAGTCTCCTATGTAAGTTTAAAGTGTAGGTAAACTACACCAATCCACTGGGGTTGTAAAATAGACTTTGTAAATGCCAGTGGCTTGTTTTAGCATGTTTCTGCACAGCCCAACCTCTGTTACACAGATATACGGCACAAGGCAATGGCAGAGAGTTAGACAGGCCCACTATATTCATACACAGAAATGACATATTCTTCCTTATTTGTAGAGTTGACATGGGATGCTTTCACTTTTATTCCAGTAAATATTCTTTTTTCTTCTCTACCCTCCTCAGCTCCAAGCCAGAGGTAACTCGTTATTATTTTAGTAAACTTGATTTTGGACAAGACCTCTAATTTCATTGGAGTAGGGCATTCACAATGAGTAAGCCCTGTTTACCAATACCTGTTCCATAACCTTGACTTTCAGAGAGTTGCTTGGGAACATAAGAGGTTTAGTACATACTTAAAGTGTAGGAAACTTGCTCATGAATGACTTCCCCAGAATCTTATAGTCACTATTTTTCAGGGACAGAACTTAAACCCGGGTCATCCTGACTCTAAGTCCAGCTTACTATCTACTCCTTCTTATTACCCTTTTGATGGAATAACATATGAGTATTTTCTTCAAGGTTACATTTCATTCACTGAACAATGTAAAAATTGAAATGTTTGCTGAACGTAAAAGTGGTAGTATAGATTTCCCCCTTTTTTGTTTTCCATTTTTGGGAAGCTGGGGTAATAATACTTTCAAAAGTTGGTATTTTATCCCAAGGAGCAATTAAACTCAATATATTTTTATATATGGTGTGAAGGAAAATATTTTTTGAAAACATGTTACAAAAAATAGGGAGTCTCTTGTTCCTGAAAAGTAAATACAGATTTTGTTATTATTGAATAACAAAAGACATTGTCACTTATCCTTGTTTCAATTATTAGATATGGCAATATTTTTTAGGCATTTATTATTTGGCCAGATAAAACAAAGGTCTACATTTCTTAGTAAAAATTTTAGGATAAATAAAAAGTGAGCCATTATAACAATTTACACATCTCTATAAAATATAAGAGAGTTAGGTTTCACCTGTATGGGTAAGACTACAAGAGCAACACAGATCATAATGACAACGAAAAGCTTGGAGAGCGCTGTCTCAGGTGTGACATCCCCAAAGCCCACAGTAGAAAAGGTCACAATGCAGAAATAAAGGGAGTCAAAGAGAGTCAGTTTCTTCCCTGCTCGCTCAAGATGCTGAATTCCACAAATACTATGGTAAATAAAGACAAAAACACTGAAGTGAATATCTTCAGTAGGCATTAGTTAGTCATCATTGTGTCAAAAGATGAAGAAATCCACACAAAATAGTTTAATATTCACACAGATGGTATTGTAATTTTAAATGTTTTATAACATAGCTTTTTTCAGTAACATATTTTACAGTTCTTATATTTTTGGTTATAGTAACATGGTAGGTTTTGATTAATAGTTGGTCACAAAAGAGCTGTCCGAAATAAAACTGAACTTTTTTTGTCCCAATGACAACACAGATATAGTACAATAAATCCTGATTATAAAGCAATAAGAACAATATCTATGTGTGATTTGTGGAATAAATACCATTTTATTGTTGCGTTTCATTTTTTGGAGTCAATGGTATATGGTAGGTAGGGGGCCAACCTTGGAATCAGCAGAACAAGGGTTCAAGTCCTGTCTCTTGATAGAGACTAGCTATATGATCACAGCAAACTGACTTCACAAAGATGTTTCCATACTGGGAGCTCATCCTAAAGGTTAAGTCATATAACGGAACAAAAGATCTTCATTTAAAAAAAAAATACTAACATGGAAATCATAGAATCAGGTAATAACGAAATGACGAAGATGGTTCCATGATGAAATAGCTAGGAAGATAAAAATGTTTTAGGGCATGGTGTGGGCAGGGATAAGGGATCTTGCACTAAAAGTACGTATCTCTTTTAAGATTGGATAATGTTGAATGGCTACAATGTCCCACCTTCCCTTTGACAGATGCAAAAGAGACTCTTCAAAAGGAAAAATTACACAATAAAGCCTACTGGTGACTTGGATGGAGTGGCCATAGAGGTCACAGATCTCAAACTAGAGTTGGTTAGGTAACAAAATAAAGAGTCAATGGCTAAAGAAGTTCCCTTAAAACCAAAGTGGAATTTGGAAAGCTCTAAGGATTCAATCTCTATTATTAAAAATAACAAATTTCTACAGTTGTTTGCATTTTGCAAATCACTTTCCTTAGCAACAACTCCAAAGTGATTGTTACAACAATTCTTATTCTCCCCATTTTACTAATGAAGAAACTAAGTCTCTGAGACGCTGTTATTCATAATCACATTTGATTGAGATAGGATTCAAACATAGCTTGACTCAAGATCACCTTACTCTTTCCACTATGCAACACTATCTTTGTATCCTGATAGGAGATATAGGCCACACTCCAACTCCTACTATTCCAAAATAGAAGACAAAACTAAATAGCAGTAATGAGGGCAATTTTTTTCCATTTTTCTCCTTGAAAAACTAAAAATAGATTTCTTACTACTTCTATATCCTCTATATACTCTCATTATTCTATGCCTCATGTCCTCATGGCAAAAATATTTACCTACTACCTCAACCTGGAGACTGTAGTTGCTTTTGGAATTTGGATCATCAGGGTAACTGTTAATAAGTCAGTTTTTTAAAAAAAAATTTATTAAGGCCTATATCAGATTGCATCAAAGGAAAGAGAGGGGAAGAAAATTTAAAACTCAAAATCTTTTTTCTTGTTGTTGTTTTGGGGGTTTGTTATTGTTGTTGTTGTTGTTGTTGTTGTTGTTGTTGGCTAGGCAATGGGATTAAGTGACTTGCTCAGGGTCACATAGCTAGTAAGTGTTATGTGTCTGAGGTCAGATTTGAACTCAGGTCTTCCTGAATCCAGGGCTGGTGCTCTATCCACTGCACCACCTAGCTGCCCCTAAAACTCAAAATCTTATGGAAGTGAATGTTGAAAACTAAAAATAAATGAATTAATTATTTTTTAAAAAGGATTTAATATAAAAAAGATGAAAGTGAGAAGAGAGAAAGTAGAGACACTTGGTATTGATAGTTTTGTCAAAGAGTTTAGCCAATCAAGGGAGGGGGCATATAGAATTATTGTTAGGAAGGATGGTCAGATCAATTAAGCAAATATAGCTCTGTAGTCTCAGTCTTAGAAAGTAAGATGTTTTCTAGGTAGATATGATCTAATGAGCATGACTGGTTCCATACCATTTATTTATGTATCCCGATGTATCAGTGACAAATTAGGGCAATTTGGATAGCTATGATGTTTTCTCTCATTAACTTTCCATCCTGGAATCCTTAGTTCCCTTCAAGGCTCAGCTGAAGTGCCACCTTCTTCTATATGAGGTCTTTCCTGATCCCCTCAGGTATTAGTGCTTTCCCACCTACCACGAAATTACTTTCATTCTATTTTGTACTTACATATTCATGACTGTTTCCTCTGAAAAGAATGCATGCTACTTAATAGCATTAGTCAATGATTTTTCAATCTCCTAAACTCTAATGACAGTCACCTTTTTATATTTGGACTTTGCATTTGTATTTGTACTTCCAGCGGCTATTAAAGACTGGCATATAGCAGGCACTTAAAAAGAGTTTGTTAAATTGAATAGATCTATCTGAAAACTAAGTTTTACTTTTATGCTATCGCTTTTTCCAATCAGAAGAAGTAAAAACAAAAATATTTTATAACCTATGTTTTGTGCTTTATTCTAAAAATAAAAAGTAAAGGAGTAAGGAAGAAATAATATTTGTTACTATACAGTAACAGCTATCAGTTCAGCTATAGGTGTAAGTTTGACATGCCAGCAAGATGTTAATTTGAATTTTATGGTTAAAATAATATTAGAGAGTACTCTGTGAATTCCTTTTGTTTACTTCTCTATTCCAATTCTTACCTCCCACCCATTTATTATGGATAATTGAGAGTGATTATTCAATTTCTCATCCTTTTGGCAGCTGATTCTATATTTGTGCTGTTGTAAATGAAAATCTCAAACCTGTTGAACTGGAAAGTACTGGAGAATCAACTTAAAATGGCATAAGCAAATGCAACTAAAATAATTATGGGATAATTAAATTTATCTTACGAGGTGAATAAGGGGGCCTATCAAAATTCTCAATTTTTGTTGAATGAATGAAATAAAGAACACTGATTACCAGCTATAGTTATTCCATTCTTCATACTTCCAAGTCCAACCTGGCACAGATATTTTTTCTCCTCCAAATAATTAAATATGCCAAATTCTATATGATTTGAAGAATTAGACTTGCACAAAAGTAAAAATAGCATCCTTAATCTTCAAGTTATTTCTGTTTTGTAGTGCTTTAGGTACTATTAGGCTAAAAATACCATCATTGTTCTATAGTAAAGATTGTAGGGTTACCACATGAACAAATGGAAATTAATGGAAAAAAGCCTCAGTAGAAAGAATTAGAGTTCAATAAATTACTTTTTAAATTGCTCCCTGATTTTGATTATATCCACTAATTAATTTCTTCTGGGGACCTGGTATATGCCCCATTATGTAATTTTATGACAATTACATTTTTATCAGCTGGTATCTTAACTAAAGAAGTACGATTTTCTACCTCTCTGCAGTAATAGAATATGGAAATCATGAACCTTGAATTACTGTATGGAGGTTAGCAGCCCAATATAACTTCTAAACTAGATGGATAACTATCCCCTGTTAAGTCATAAGCCCTTATGGAAAAAGAAGCTAATGAGATCTAATTTAATGAAAATAAATTGTTCCTATTGCATATTAGAGATGCTATACTTTGTGTTTCAGAATCACATTTTCATCAGGATAATGCAGTTAAAATGACAGTAAACTCTCAATTATCTGTGATAAACAGGTGAGAGACATATGAGTGAAACAGAGAGGAAAACAGAAGAAATTCACAGATAACCCTACACATCTATTTTAACCATAAGCTTCAATTATACATACTGATGTCACAGTCTACACGCCTATAACTAACCTGTTTGATGTTCTTACTCAACTAAACCTATCTCATTATAAGCTCCATGACCTCTCCTTCCATGTTTTGTAGTTTATCACCCTCATTCTGCCTATACTTGCTTCTGTATTCTTCTTTGACCCCCATGGTGTACTTCTTTATTATTTCACTGTGTAACATTTAGAATCCTTTGTATCTTGACCTTCCATTGTTCCACACTAGATTATTTCTCTGTTCCTATTCTTGGGGTCTCAAGCACCACTGAGGGAAATCACAAAATTACTTGTGAAATCAATTTCATTATCTATTGGACCCAAATTGTTATTAACATTAGCAGAGACATGACATGTCGGGGGAGGATGGTACTTTTCAAACACAAAAGATGATGAAAAGAAAGGCAAGAACAGAACAAGAGATAGTCAGTAGTTTATACTGGATGTAGAATGATAAGAACTGAGTTCAGGTGCTGACACTGATATTCCCACCTACTTACTTCAAGAAAATTATCAGCTTTCATGGAGAAAGTTATGGGATAAAATTTTAGAACTACTATTTACAACAATATTTAATTCAATCCAATCAAGTTTGGCCTCTACCCAATCTACATTGTTTGCTGTTCAAATGAAATGGCTCCATTATTAATAAGGAGCCAGAGTCAACATTGACTAGTACTTCTATAACCATCTCCAATTTCCAAATCCCAGGACCTAACCTATTAAATCCTTTTCAGAGCACACAGAGAGTGTTGCTGTTTCCATGGTTTCCTGGAGTAACATCATGTAGGGATTTTGAGATTAAAAACAACACCTTGAATTACATTTAGAAACAATTATAAAGCCCAGTGTTTATTACCACCTCCACTCATAGGACTCCCATGAACATAAAAGAAGATGCATGAAGAGTAGTAAATATGTGTCAAAAGAAGTGGGCTCAGAGAGTTATTATGTAATGTTTAGCATGACAATATTAAGCAAGAGTGCTGCTTGGGAAAGAAAAATTCAGAGGGACTTAATCCACTTTGGTTCTAGTTCCACTGAAATAGTTTAGCCAAGTCAATTTCTCTGATCCCCAGTTTCTGATCTGTAAAATGAAGTGGTTGGATGAGATAGTCTCAAATTCCCTTCCTCCTACAAAAATCTTAAATTATGGGATTATAAATCATCTTCAAAGTAAGTCAAGGGAGACATATTTGGTGTAGTGGAACTTATAAGAGATATGCTAGCA